AAATGGGAATATTTTGGTTTGTTTTTCATTTTTATTTAAATTTTTGGATTTTTTTGCTATTTGGTTAAATTAGTTGATTTATTATTATTTGTGTGTATTTAATTTAATTGTTGTATTGTAATTGTTTATGTATGTTAAATTAATTATTTATCTGTTTTATGTTAATTGGCTGTGTTGCTTTAACTATTTAATTTTGCTTTAATTTAATTGCGTTTTTTTTTTTTTTACTTAAACGTAGGATTAAATGACGTATGTTTTAATAGGACTTATTTGGTATATATTTTTTTGTATGGTTATATAGGATTAGGGTTTTTTTTTATAGAGATAAATAAGCCGACTTATAGTTAGCTAGGAATTGGAATTTGGTCTTAGTAAGTGCCTATATATATAATCTTATATGTCTGTTAGGGTTAGGAAAACAAAACCCTTTTCACGTATTGTGAGATAGAGATATACAGAGACATGTAATGGGTGTTTGAGGGAAAAACAGTGGGGCGCTTGAAACTGATAGAACCACCAGATGGGATTTCAGCGATGGACTGTGGGTAGAACCAAGGAAGGATAGGAGTGTTGTTCGTATGAGGAACCAAGGAGGAAGCAAATAAGTTAGAACGGTGCGGGATCGCCGGAAAATCTAGGAAGACGGCGTAGGGATTTTAATTCAAAAATCTCAAAGGCAAGTTTCATTCTATCTCCTTCCTGTAAACTTGTGTTCTGTGCATTCTATATAGTCTCTAGGGATTAATTTAACCTTTAAAACTAATAGTTGATGCATGTTATATTAGACTGTAACCTGTTTTACGTTTAAATAACTGAAATTGGGTTTTTCTCAAACTGTGTTGTTTTTTATTTAAACTTCTGTCAATCAAGTTCATAATAGAATTTAAGAAGTTTCTATGATTTTTGGGACTTGTATTGAACCTTAAGAACTTTAAGGAAACTTGGAGCAGAGGAATGGTCTTCGCCGGAAGCGAAGAAGATAAACAAAGGAAAAGAAAATTGTTTCGGTTGAAGCTTTGTTAATACATTCATATTGGAATATGTAGGGTTTCTAGGACTTTAGGAACTTGAATAGAACCCTAGGAATGTTAAAAAGATTTAGGATAGGACATTGGACTTCGCCGGAAGAGCAGACGACAACCGGACGAAGCAGAAACGAAGCAGTGAAGCAGAGAGGGGCTCTCAGGGGTGAGAGCCGGCTCCTAAATGGTGGGAGCCGGCTCCCATGAAGAGAGAGCCGGCTCTCCATGAGGGAGAGCCGGCTCTAGAAGCCTAGGAGCCAGCTCTAATAAAGGGGAGCCGGCTCCCATGGGAAAAAAACCCCTACGGGTGTTTTCTGTAATTTTTCTGAAGTTCAGGGGCTTAAAGGTAATTACTGGAAAGTGATGGGGGGGGGGGTTTTAAGTGATTAAAATTAACTTGTTAAAGCCTTCAAATAGTTGGTTTATGCTAAGGTGCTAAACCTAAATGCATGTCATAAAACATAAGCTTATAATAGGCCTACTGTCAAGGAAGGAGGAGTGCTTGTTTTGCTAAGTTGTTTTGACAACTTAATTTGGACTGACATTGTAATTATTGTTAGAATTTATATCAATGATATATTTAGCATAGTTCAGTTCCAGGAATGTTGGTTATGACGTCATGTACTCGTATCTAATAAGTTGTATATTGTCGGGAGTAGTGGAAGGTTAGTTGCTAGTTTCGTGTTAGCAAATTAAATGAAACTGGTATAAAATACTTTTAAAGTTTCATATGATGTACTTAAACTTTGGAGTGTCATTATATCCGACACAGAATTTATAATGGGGAATTACATAGATGCCATGAGATTTAATTATAGATTTGCATGCCGTAAAGGATTTGGGAGGATGTAAATGCTAGTCATCATTTTAACATTTAAAACGAACTAGTATGGATGTGTTGATTTGGAATTCTAGTATAATGTGCAGTTTAAAATTCTGATATTCATTATATTATGTTATGGAGGATAATTGTTGAACTGTCTTAATTTTGGTTCTGTCAATTACATGGAAATGGATGGTATAAATTGTTTATTCTTATTTTAACAATTTAAAAGGAGGATCTATGATTATAAACATATACTGGATGCATGATAGGATCTTATCAATATCTGATTTCTATTGTGTTGGTTTCCGGATGGATTTGATGTTCAAACATGTGTGCATCATTGATGGATCATTTGCATTATATGTACCGGTATAGGACGGTGACATATTAGGGATGGATTAGATAAAAAAAAGCTAAGTCCTACCCCTTTCATACATATGGAATGGATTAACTCAAACAGTTAACTCCTACATGGATGCATGTCCTGTCAACTAAAACAGTTGAACGACATAATGGATGGTTGCTTTACTTTTCTGTATTAGGAAGAGATTTAAATATATACTTAAGTGTCGTAATACGAGCTTGAGTCTCCTGATCATGGTTAGGGTGCATATATCGCCTAGGATTGATAACCAGGCCTGATGATGTTTCCTTGGTTGTTCTACTCGGGTTGAGACAGATTATGTGGGCTGGTGAACGTCCTATAGTGTGTACTTATATCTATATGGACTATCTTAGCTATTGTTGAGCTATCTAGGATGTATCTGCGTATCGGGTTTATGTATGGATTGTAGTGGCATGGAACTTGCATGTGGGCCTGACCCACCCTTATTTTTCAGGTGATCGTCTATAACAGGTTTAGAGCTTGTTCGTGGTGATGCAGATACAGTCATTCACTCTTCCGACTAAATAGGATTTTTCTTTCTGGTTTTAGTTTTGGATTTTATTCTGTAAAGTTTTATCAGTTGAGATTATTAGGGGTCCACTAGTTGGATTCCCGAGTTGTACGGATTGGAAAGTTAATTTATATTAAAACTTTTATTTTTGGAGGTTTTACAATTAGAATTCTTTTCAGCATATCATTATTTTATTCTTAATTCAGTTTTATTCCTGCTTGTTTATATATTGATTGTCTGGTATCCTTCGAATCTGTGCCCGGACTTGATCACCCGTGGTTCTAGAATCGAGGGGTATCACACAATGTGAGCTCCTACAAGGGGAATAAGGATTTCTACGGATACCCTTTGCCGCCATTGAAGAACTAAAAAATGTAGGTGGTTGACTCTGGGGGTGTGTATATATATATATACAGGCTGGATACAATATAGAGAGAGAACCATAAGTTTTTCCTTGTGTCCAGGTCACCGGAGTTGCTAGATGTTAAAGTTCTATGCTAATTTGGGTCGCTTTGTCGATTTATTTTGGATGATGATGCTCTGCTCGGTTTGGATTTGGTTTGTAAGATGAAACTTTCTAAAGTTGGGTTACAATTCACTAGCTTGAGATGATCAAAAAGGAATTTTGGGTGTATTGGTGACAAAGGGGCATTATAGTCCTTTCATGTGAACAAGGGCACTATGGTCCTTTATTTTTATAATTCCCATCATGTGATAACATATGTTGTTTTTATCGGTCATAATCTATCGGAGTGGGGTGATCTGCAACCAAACACTATAGTTTGGGGGGTTTTCTGTTCATTTAGAAATTCAGGGGGGTTTTGTGTTTATTTGGGTATAGTTGAGGGGTTCAATGCACTTTACCCTTAATTTAATTCATTTAATAGCAATATTACCTTTTTGAGACTAAATGGAATCTTAACATTAATGATGCACTTAATATACATGAATAATGGAATAAAATGCAAGTGGGAATGGAATGGAATGATAATGAGAATGGAATGAAATGGTTATTCTTATTTTATTATTTGGTTGTAAATATGAAGTGATGATAACTATTCTACTGTTTGGTTGGACTAATTTTAAATAAAATATACTTCTTAGTAATAAATAAATTAAATTAACAAAATGTTATTCTTTTATAATTTTTAAAAATAAATGGTGGCAGTAGCGGTAGAGGAGGTGGAAAACAGTAGCGGTGTAGGTAGTGATGTTAGAATGCGGCGGTGGTGGCAACGGTGGAAGAAAGCAGTGGTGTTAGTGTGAAGTCGGTGACAGTAGTGCGTTGGTGGAAGGAGATAGTGGTGTAGGTGACGGTGGTAGAAGGCCAATGGAGGTGATTGTGGCAGTGGTAGAAGGCAGTGGAGTTGGTGGCGGCAACGGTGGGTGGTGGTGGTGAAAAACGAAGGTGGTTGTGGTGGAAGGTAGTGGTAGTTTTTGGACTTGGAACATGAAGTTTTTTTTGAAAAGGGATTATTACATATAAATGGTGTCAATGACCCATATTTACTATTTAATGAAGTTAAAGTCTCATAATTTCGAAAAAAATGAAGTTGACCAAAATGGACTTGAAAAAATATTGTTTACCCTCACTTAGGTACCACTTTTAGGTATATATGTACCATTTTTTGTGCATAAAGGTACCACTTTTTTGTGCAACATAAAAGTGGTATCTAATGACAAAAAATAATACCAACATGCACAAAAAAAATGGTACATATGTGCCTAAAAGCGATACCTTAATAAGGGTAAACATATTTTTTCATATCTTCTTTTTTTTTTCAAAACTATTAGACTTTAACTCCATCAAATAATAAATTCGGGTCATTAACACCATTTACATACATAATAATTCCTTTTTAAAAAATTATTGGGAATGTAACGATTATTTTCATTTCACAGTAATAAATTTTTATTCCAATGAATAGAATATTCTATTCAATTTTTGCACACGTTGCAGAAGAGGAAGACCATTTTGGTCTGTGTTTGTACTCTCATCGTCCATGGGACGAATTGCCTGCGATTGCAACAAACACCAAACAGATTAGTCACACGTAAATCGACACGTTTCTATAAAATACGCTGGGTCCCACATTTGGTCCAATCGTCTTCTCTTAGAAATGTTTAAAAGAGATCTGATTGTACTCTATACTTTCCCTTGTATATCATGAATAGCTTCCAAATGCCATGTGGGGTCCATTTAAAGGATAACCATCCGATTCCAACTACGCAGAAGCTCAGCGTTATGGTCTCGCACACGCGAGCACACCCTTCCCTCTCCTTTTTTGCACAAACCCCCCTCTCTGTCTCTCTCCTCTGTAACTCTGGAAAAACCCTTCCATGGACGATTTTCTAGAGAGAGAGAGAGAGGAGAGAGGGGCTCCAAGAAGCGCCCGAGAAGCAGACGCTAGGAGAGTAAAAGAGATAGAATTCTAAGAGTCAAATGAGTTCTCTGTGTAACTTTGTAAGTGGCCTATCTCGAAATTCTGAATTACTAATAATTTATTTTTAACTATCTTAATGTGAATGAAATCTGTAATTATTTAATCCCCATTTTGTCGATTGAAATCATGTTAGCTTTCTGATCTGTTGTTTGGTTTTCGTATGATTTTGTGCAACATGAGAATTGTGGGCTTGAAATGGCTGTACTAAAAGTCTGTCAATTGTAGGGCCCTGATCGTCCTGTTTGTTTGACCCTTTGAATATGGCAGAAATCTATGATCATGATTTTGTAAAATGAATTTAATCACATTACCTTTTATCCAAGATGATGATCAGCCGTCTGATCTACAAACAATTGAAGAAATAAATTAGTAGTAGCATAATATAGTACAGTGCAATGTACTGTATAAGCAGAGGGAATTCTTACCTGGTTAAGTAGGGCATTCCTAAAGAGTAAAGATGATTAGTTTAATATATTACCTTTCAGTTACTAAAAGAGAATGTTCAAATTGTAATTAAGATAATTATATGCTCAGATAGACAATATATATGTTTCAAGCTGTAATAGGTATAACTACTTAACAAGCATTTTTTGGTTAAAGTGTTAAAAGCACCGTTGATTATCTATGTGTGTGTGAAAATTAAGCAAGTTGTACAGTCAACACCTTAATAAATGGTTAAATGTGTGAGATAGTATATTAAAAGCAGTCAATACAAACAATTTTAGCATATGGTAGATGTTGTGTTGTTCATGAGCTTGGCAGATTATCCTATAATTAATTAATTAATTAATTAATTAATTTTCTATGACAGTGTTTCCATTACTATTACTATTATAAATTTCAATTTAATTTTTTATAATGTGATATTTTATTTTTTCAACAAATCCATTACTTCTTGAGCAATGCAGTTGTTGATGAAACCAATTTGAATTTTCTTAAAATTTACTGATTATTAAAATTTTCAATCTATTGTTTAGTAACTATTAGAGGATCAACAACATACTTATAACAATGTTTTTAACCATAAATTCAATATATATTTTTTAATAATAAAAAAGTTTGTTGAAATCATAATTCTCAACTAGCATAGTGTTTACAGTATATATATATATATATATATTTTTTTTTCTGTTTGTGTCATTTGGGGGTAGACATAGTTGTATTAAGTTAGACAATTGTCTATAAATTTATTTAAATATTATTAATTTTTTTTTTTTAAAAAAAAAAGGAAAAAGAAAAGAAAAGATGTTTGATTTCAACAGTTGGAGCAGGAATAGAAAAAAAATTAAAAACAAATAGAAGAACAATACTTTGAAGAGGATGGACATAAAGCATTAGCCTTTATTTCCAAAAGTCTCCAAGTTGTCCCCATTGGGGGTTTTTAGCCCATAAAACATGTAATAAAGTGAAGCTATCCTGAGCCGAACCCAATTTGATTGTAATCTCTTTTAGATTCTTAGTTCTTGAGGCTTTGGTAAATCATCCAACCGAATGTCTTAGGCCCATCAATTTTGGTTGTTTGTAGAATAACTCATATTTCGTAAAATAAGCATTTGATCTTTTTTCAGGAAAGTTTCAAACAATTAAAAGCGGTAAATCTGTTTGCAATTCAACCCAAATTTGAAAATACATGTTTAATATTTTATGTGATTGGTGACAAAAGGTATCTTGGGATAGAACAAAATATAAAGTCCATTCTCTAAGAAGCAAAGTGAAAATGTGTTGTACATCTCATAAACATTGACATTTATGATGGTTTGGTGGAATTTATTAAACTTTCCTTTTGTTGATGATTGAAAACGATCAATTACTGAGTACATCTTTAATAGTATTTGATTACTGATATAATCAGTTCATGCGTGTAAGATATATTACTTAATCAGTGTTTAGAATGAAAAATACTAGTATTCACTTAATTATACTCCACAGTGATCACTCCTAATATTGACAACAGATTAGCTAAGAACACAAAAGAGGATAGTCACTTGAGACCGTGATATAGTATTTTTTTTTTTTGTGTGTGTGTGTGTGTGTGATATATCTGTGCAGTGATTGATGATTTTTGACTGCTATTATGATAAAACTGTATGTCTTGCTAACTGCTAAAAAGGCAGATAGGTCGATCAATAGAGGTTGAGAAAGAGGGAGAGAGAAAACATAGAACTGCTTATTTCATGAACAGGATTTAAACTACATCAGGTTTCCCTACTGCATCCACTTCCTTTCAAGGTTTATTCTTCAGTGTGTCGATGTACTTTTCCTTGGCTGTGAGATCATTCTTTAAGATGTGATCGAGAAAACCTCCAAAGCTCCCCTCTTTGTAACATGCTGGGTTTTTTTCATTGACAAGCTCCATTGCGGGTCCAACTTTCTTCTGTAAGCCTAGACTGTGCAGGCTGGCAATGGAGAAACGCTTCTTTTCAGCGTTTACCGTAGCTTGATGAATGACACTTTTGTATTTGCCATTGCTCATAACTTCCATTTGGTCCCCTAATTGAACTATTAGGGTTCCTTCATTAGCTGGTATGGGATGCCACTTCTTATCATGGTCCATGATATCCAGCCCTGGGCAACTCTGGAGTAGGATGGTTAGGGTTCCGTAGTCGGTGTGTGGCGGCAAGCCTAGCACAAGATTTGGTTCTGGACATACCGGGTAGAAATTCACAGCCATGACCTGTGATCCTTCTTCGATGTCCTCATGTAAGTAATCGTTGTGTAGTCCTAAGCTTTCAAAAACAACTTCTATTAGCTGCTTTTGTAGTACTTGCAATGCTTTTGCATAGGTTCCCATATTCTCCCTGTGAAGGAAAAATACATTTAGGAAATCTAAATCAATTAGATATTGTGATTGAGAACAACTTTGAGGAATTTATATTAACTACCATTAACTGATATAAATTTTATCACACGTCTTTTTGAATGTTGAAAAACATGCTGATGATAATAATGCAATGATAGTATCTTCAGCAAGTTTTGAACCTAAATTGGAAATTGTCAGTTTTATCTTTTCCCAACCTAGAAACTCTTACACAAACTTAAATTTGAAGTAGTTTTGCTGGAATATGCTTCCAAATTGTCCTGACTTTCAAACCAGGTTTTGAACATATATGGAAGACACTTAAGATCTCTCTTATGAGAAATATTGTTGGTACATACTTGTAACATGGGGGATTTGAAGGCCAACGATCAATCCAAGTTGAGATTGGATTAGAGTAGTGCTTTATGAAGTCTCTCCAGAACCGAACTTTGTCCTTATCATGATTCAAGCTTGTGCTATATCTCACAGGCTCATGAACATTCTCGGAAAAGAGTTGCATCTTCTCCTCAATTGGCAAGTTAAAAAATTCTGCTGCCGAGTCAAGGGCACCATGCGTGACTGAAGGAGGAATTCCATGGTTAATCACCTGCAAAAGAAATGATCTTTCGTTTACGTTGACGTAAATAATTATGATGCAGTTATGCATGCATGCCGCAATATAACACCTACATAATATTTTATGTACTCATGTAAAATGTAAAACCAAAGAGAGTATGCTCGGTTCCTTTTAAGGAAATTAAAATAATTTATATATTTTACGTACTCACGTAAAATGTAAAACCGAAGCAAGTATGCTTAGTAATTTATATATTTTATGTACTCACATAAAATGTAAAACCGAAGTGAGTGCGCTTAGTTCCTTTTACGGAAATTAAAGTAATTTATAGTGGATCAGCTTCTATTTGATGTGCTCCTGTGGAACTCCTTAGGTCACATATATATTTATGTGCGCGTGTGTGTACAGAGCTTGTAAAAAAATAGTAAACTTTTTGAATGATGCAGGTGACTGCTCGAGTTTGACAAGAGTGCGGACAATACCTGGAAGAACCCAAGTTCCTTGCAGGCCACGCGAACCTCGTCAACCACCCTAGATCTACGAGAAGGGTGGTTTAAAGAGGAAACATCGATAGTGGGCAGGGCGATGAAGGGTTGCAGGGAAAGACTAGGGTTTGGGCGTTGTGATGGTGGAAGAACAAATTGTTCAGGGAGAAGGGGTACTCCCATTTTGGCAAGTGACATTACACTAGTAAATGTATCAGCTGGTATCACTCTCTTCTCTGCCATTTTCTCTCTTTCTCTCTCTCGTGTATGATCTTCATGTCCTAGTGAGTTTTCCTATTTATAGCTGAAAAAAGCAAATGCTGTGAAATTAATTTGACCTCAAGATATCACCATCACGCACAGTTACAATGAATGTACTAGATATATGCTGCATATACGACTGGTGATGTAAGAGATTTTTTTCATAAATTGGCAATATCAGGTGCTGTGGGACCAAATATCTTATGTAATGAAAAAAATAGGTTGATACTTGATAAAAGGACGAACATGGTACCTGTTCAATACTAGGAAGGGTTGTGGTTGAGGTTATCTTCTATGCGGACCTGGATCCTCTCTACTTGTCACGATTCTCCTCGACCTGTTTAGATACTATCCGTTTTGTACACTCTTCGGTTTTCTCTCATATTCAGTTGGGAACTCGTCTCATGTAGATATTGTCCATTTTGCACTCATCGTGCTCACAATTTTCAAAACTAGTTTACACAGTTAGGAGATGTCGACACATAAGTGCCAATAACCTCTCCTCCCCTAGCAACGTTGGGCGTCACAACAGTCCCTTATACCATCACATGTCATCCTGTGCACTAGTAAATGATTATACAACACACTACGTACAATACAACTCACTATGAGATGATATAGGCTTAGCACTTATGTAACACATTTATCATTAAATTGAGAATTTATTGTATTTAAATAGTTGTCATTGTCGATTTAAAATTGTTGCAGTGAGAATATAAAGTTGTTATGTCGATGATATAAACACACTGGACAAACACAGAGCCAACAACACACAGGAGAGGATCCTGAAACCTTCTCTACTAAGTAAAATGTGGGATTCAAAAGGAGTTGCGCGTATTATTTTTCGGGACCTTCTGGTGCGTAAGAGGGTGATGAGGCACCTAACATGGTTTCGAACTGAATATTTATGAACCATATCCTATTCCTAGTCATCTGGTTTTCATTGAAATTGTGGGCTGGTTTGGGACAACCAGTTTGGCCACAAAACTACTTAGTTTGGTGTTGTATACAGGAATGGTATTTCCACATAACACTTTTATCTTGCGACATGTGAAATCTGGGACTGCCCTCCTTTTTTCCGGGCAAAATATCTAAGACAGACTGTCTATTTATGGGAAAGAAACAAAAGATACACTCACTTTCCCCACTTTTTATTTTTATTTTTTTATTTTTTTTTAAAACTAGTCTTATCGGGAAAAAAGAAATTGCTAGAGCTTGTTTATTTTTATTGTTTTTATGTTAATTTAAAAAATTTATTGTCAAAAAACTTCATGATTATGATTGTTAAATATTTGTTTGTATTTTAAATTTTTTTTAAAATTATCATGAAACTAATCAAAATTTTATTTATTTTGAAGTTAATGTTTACCCTATTTAGTTTCCTCCCATCGAAAAACAATATGTAGCTAAATAAATAAAAAAATTCAATAAACTATGATGAATTTATAGAGACAACTTTTATTGTGACTAAATATGGCATATAAATCCAATAAATTCCATTGATTTCAGTATTGATAATACAGTTTCAGTGACAGCTAAAAATGCTAGTGGATTACAATTAATAAACCTGCCATACGATTACATTTATATAGATTAGAAATAACAATGATAGGTTGAGGTTTGATGATGCATGTCTATGGATATGTCAATGACTACATTAAAAAGAGAGAGATGCAAATGAACGATGTTGGCATTGAAATCAAGTCCATGTGAAGACATGTTCTCGTCACAGAGTTAAAACTGGGAGTTGGGAGGTGGATGCTTCCATTTATTAACTGGTGCATGTTATTTATAAACTCCCAACAATATGTTATATGTATACTAGTTGACATATATAATGTCCTGTATATATATACTCTATATATGTATATGTTATATAGTGAAGTGGTCTCTTGAACTAACATGCAGGCTATGTAGTATAATATTGGATTCATCCCCATCTCTTCTCCAAAGGTGACTGACGTTCTTGTATTGTCCAACTTGAGAAAATCTAATGTATAAAATGCGTGACACATATGGTTCAACTAAATTAAAAAGTTGTCGGGTAGTTTTTTCTTTTTTAATTATTTTTTAAAATGCATTTCATAGTGTATTATACATAAATTAACAAATTATGGAATTTGCAAGTCTAGACAAATGTCTGTGTGTGGTGTGTGCATGCATACATATATATATATAAATACTGTTAACTGATTATAGTAGCTGAAATGGAGGTCATTTATATTTCTTTTGAAGTTTTTGGTTTAAACATAGCAAAACTGATGCAAGATGAGTTGAAACTTTGTAGCCCCTGGACATGTTTTAGTAAGAGCCAAGTTCTGCAGAAGTTAAGGAGAGAGAGAGAGAGATTTACAAAACCAGCAAATGGTTTCTGCATTTTTTCCGGAAGGTAAATCGATTTTGCTTTGGTAAGCAACACATATGGTCAAATTAATTTTCGGCATTTTCCGGCCAAGACCTCATTCTTATCTTTCTTTCTTGATTCTTTTTCGAAACATGAAATCACAATCGCTAGTTTCAATTTAGAATTCATTTGCACCATACCCTTTTTTTTTTTTTTGGGTCCTAATAGCGTAAATATATGGATACAACTGATAAAGAATAGTCACTCATGCTAGGTTTCGTTGGAGGAAAGGATTGAGAAGGGATAGATGGGAAAGGGGATAAAAGAACTTTTTTGTATTTGGTTGGAGAGGGAAGTAAAAAGAGAAGGCGGCAAGCAAAGATGAAACATCCCCCCTCTATATATTATATTTTCCTATTATCTCAAGATTGGGAGGAAAAGGAGAAAGAAATAATGGATAATTACCCAAATATATTATTTTTATTTTTATACCTTTTAAAAAATTTGAAATTAATATCTAATTTTTATAATTTTATATAATGAGAGTATATTAGTAAAGGAAATATAAAAACACTATTTCGTTTCCTTCCTAACTAAATAAGAAAAAATGTTACTCAATCTGTCATTTTTACTATTCATTCCATTTAACCAAATAAAAAGTGAGAGAGACACCTTTCCTTCTCTAGGATGTCTCATACATCATTTTTCCTCTCCCTTCCATCTATTTTTTCATCTTTCTACCAAACGGACCATCAATGTTTAGAGGGGTATTATCGCTCCATTCATGTTTGAATAGGAAAGGTTTTGAGTACATTTGAACGGGTATGCAATATTATCTAATAGTCTAAATTTTCGAGTTAAAAAGAAAGCTTTTGAAATCGAATATCATTCTAAAAAATCATTTAAGATGGCTAAATTTTTTAAAACCTAGGAAGCTAAAACCTTTTATTACGCACGAGTGCAATCTCTCTCTCTTCGATTTTCTCTTTGTTGATGTTATCTCCCAATTAATTTATCTAGGATATCGCTTTACATATGCCAAAACTACTAAAGATGTGTGAGTGGAGATTTGAATTGTCATAGAGGAATTCCTCCTAAGATATAGCAATTTTAGGAGAGAGAAATTTTGCTTGACTCCCTATTTAAAGGTGTGCTCGGAGTCTTTAACTATTGTGGTAGTTGTTGTCTTAACGACTGCTGGTCAGGCCCTCTATTTTTATTGCTCTTTCTAATAAAATTTTAAAACATGCCCACAAAAAATTAGAAGCATATTCTCAAAAATTCAAACTAGGGTTGGGAAGAGCAGAGCTTATTGGGGGAGAGTGAAGAAATAAGAAGATTTGATAGGCAAAATGAAGAGATAAGGGAGAAATCATGGAGAGTAAATATAAAAGGGAAAAAACTTGCACTCGCACCATCGTGCGTAATAGAACGTTTTAGCTTCCCAAGTTCTAGTATTTTTAGCCAGCATACAGGAATTTTCAAGGAATAACGTAACTATGATACATAGGATTCAAAATGGCATTCGACAACGAGAGTAAAAAAGAGTATCATTTCTTTTTATGATAAACCCTAAATCAATGTAATGTATTCACGAGGTTTTTTTTTTTATTATTATAAAGGAATCCAAGCATGTAAAAGTGCTTGTAAAAGTTTAGAATAAAGTACAATGACACCCTTTGAGGTTTGTCATAAGGACAATCATATACAAGTTACTCTATTTTTGGATAACAACAACCCATGGTCAGAAATTGAATCCAAACGGCTCCTTAAGAATGTAAAAAGTCAAGATTGCCCTTTAATATTTTATTTATTTAAATTGTACGGTAAATATCAAAACTCTTAAATGACGTTTTTACCTTTAATATATAGTCCATGTCCATTACACCTCACTACACTCTCTAACCTCTCTCTCTATATATTATATGTGTATGTATAATTGTATATTGCACCCACACACTAGCAGTGGTGCCACCTCTCTCCTCCACCATTTCGATCGCATCGCCAATATTACACCTTCAATGGCGCCGCCTCCGAGCTCTCATCTCAGTGCGTCGTCCTCCGCCTTTGCTTGTACGACGATGATGCCAAATGCTTCATCTCTCTCAAAGCCAAGGTTGTGCTTGTTGACGGCGTGAGCAAATCGAGTCGAGGAAGATGAGGAGGAATTGGATCCTCTGATAGGTTGTGGATGCGTGGTGAATCCATTGAGGCTTGGTTTGATCAATTCGAGGGTGTTCAGGAGGGTGTGAGATGAGTTCCCGACGCCGTCGGCGTCGTCGGTGTTCCTAGAGTCATTTTCAACGGCAATTACTACTTCGTTCGCATCTAGGGTTGACAATATAAAAAAACACGACCCTCATTTGAAGGATTCAAAGCCTTTCATTCTCGACGGCCTTCCAGTTCGGATCGAATTGACGAGCTCTCACCTTTAGATCCCTGTCTGTTTTGTGACTCAGTACCTCGACTTACGCTTTACCGCCATATCCTCCCTCAATAAATGGACACGTCCTCATTGAGTACCAAATCCGAGACATTGAGGTACAAAATCAGAGATGGTGGGGTACATACTCACTTAATTACGCTTTTTTTTTTAGGCATGTTAATTTTCGAAGACTCTCTTTGTAACATTCTCCCTTACTCGAATTCGCAATGTTCTCGTAGGGCCACCTTGCCTGCCCGAGTGGGCAAGCCCGGACACTTCCGGGTAAACGCTTGGCATGACATTGGAACAATGATTGGTTCTGGCGCCTCTTATACCAACTGTAACGGGCGGGGTACTTTTCGGTCAAACCCCAAAAGTTTAAACTATTAGAAGTTGCTAACACTCAACCTATGTATACCCAATTACTTTCCCATCTGAATCCAATGTGGGACAGGACTTTCTTTGTAACATATCTCATTTATCTCTCAAAGTGAGAGGTGAGGATTCAAGCTCGTGTAGAGACAAATGGGTGTTAGTTTTTTTCCAAGGGAAGGAAAAAAAACAAAAAAAAAACTCCAAGGTGATAGTTTAATGAAATAAAATCAAATTTCTAAAACCTTAATTATATGAAATGTATGATTTTGAATTTTTTAATCTGAATTTATAGGAAATCTCATTTCCTTTGAACCAAAAATGTGCAAGAGCTATTAATCATTAACCTGAGCGAAGAGATTAAGGATAAACAATTAAGGAATATATATATATATTTTTCAAATATATATGTTCAAAGGTTATTTACCTAAAAGTAACTCCTCCCAAACTATAAATCTTATTATAAGACTTGGTTGAAATATTTTACTACTCCACAAAGTGCCTTGTAATAATTTGTTTACACAAAAGTTGGGGAAACCGTACCTAGATAATTCAAGCAACACGTTCGATAATTAATGTTTATTTTACTTTCTAATACAGAGAACTTCTATTTGGAGGCCATTTGGGTTTTTTTAGATTTTTTTCGAACATCCCAATAATTCAATTAAATTAATTGGATTATATATTTGATTAAACTAGCATTTATAGCTGTCTAAATAATATGGCTAGATTGGATATAATTGGACATTGGACCATCTTAAATGAAAAAACCTCTAATATACAGATAATATCAATGATATGATATAAATCATTAACTAAATAAATATTGATATATAGTGATAAGATTCAATGAAATAGATATATATTTTTTATTTATATAATAACATATAATTAGCTGATAACACTCATAATATATCATGATACTATTAGACATATGTGTACCTGTAATTTTGGAATGCTCTTTTCCTTACTATGGTTTCTCTATCCTTGCAGAGACAGATAGAGGTTTAGATATTACATGAAACTTTCTAATTGAGGGTTTTGTTACATCAACTCTTTTAAATGAATGCATAAAATACACAGATGGATTCAATACCTTAAAGCATTTTATGCGGAAATGTTGTAAACTTGCTTTACCGGTTCGGCAACTGCTTCGAGTTCATGGGATGGTAGTTGAGGTTGTGTGCCCCAAGTGCGGTATTGAGGAGGAATCCTTGGAACATATGCTTTTTCTTTGCCCCCATTCTATCCAGATTTGGAAGTTAATGCCCCTGAGGTTTGATTTTGCGGTTGATCTCCCTTCATCATTTGTGGATTGGTGGACGACATTAGTGCGGATGTGAGCATCTAAGGAGGAGGGTCAGGATGTGTTGGGGCTGGTGACCTTTTGCTACTGGGGTATTTGGAAGGCTTGAAATAAGCTTGTTTTCGACGGGTTGCTCTATGACCCCTCTAGGGTCGTTTCGGTGGCTTGCTCTTTTTTTTTGGGGAATTTAAGGAAGCCTCCTGTTCTCCAGCTCTCTCAATTTGACCTCTTTTAAGTTTGGAACTGGTTCTGCTTTGTTTCAGCATTCCTCTCCTTTCCGTTGGTTGCCTCCCACAAAGGGTATTATTAAATGTAATGTGGATGCTTCCTTTTCATCTTTTACCCAGGTTGGGGGTGGTGGTGCTATTTTTCAGGATTCTAAGGGAACCATTTTATAGGCGGTAGTTTTTTCTGCATTCCTGGCTTCTACTGTTACTCTAGATGAAGCTATTTGTCTCCGTAAAGCGGTTCTATGGGCTTTATTGTCTTCGTATGGCCAGATCTAGTTTGAATGTGATTCATTGGTGGTGGTCCAGGCAGTGAATGGAGTGACTTGTGGGTCTGTTGACATTCATTCTGTTGCATTTGATATTCAAGTGGCGCTAAGGCGATTTTCCTTTTATTCACTTAGTCATGACTTTAGACATGGTAATGGAGTCGCTTATGCTCTTGCCTAGCTTTCATACCAGCATATTCACGATGATATTGCTTTGGGTCACATTCCTGGAGATATTCTTGATTTGACAGTAAAAGATTGTATGTTTTAATTTTGCTGCTGTTGTATGTTTGCAAGGATAAATAAAAAAAAAAAAAAAAAAAAACTCAATACACAATAAATTATATTATATAAAAGTATAAAAATATATCATTTTAAGGACAGGTTTTGAAAAGAATCTTATGCTTTTTGTTCAGTGTTCACCGAGTACATAAGAAAATGCAACACATGCACTAAAAATTTATTATTGTTTTTATAAACGATGTGAATTGCTACAGAAATAATGTAATTAACACGAGAAAATTGAGGTTCATAATTAAAAATAAAAAAGGGTATTTAGGTTCATCATTTTATCCCGTAAAATAAAAGGAAAAATATTTCTTTAAACCTATGATATTTTGGTTGTATAAAAGGAGTAAGTGTTTTAAAGGTTGTAGATTTTAGTAAATTCAACTTTATATATACACACTTATACCAACTAACATACCTAACAATGGAATATGTGGAAGGGTGTTTTGTTAAATAAACATAATAAGCTTTGATGTAGCACTAAAATTTTATTATTATTTATAGGTTTGTGTAATCAAGTAAGATTCCGCCAATTGGCAAAAGTGTTGACCTTGAATTGGCCAACCAAAATTGTTTATTTTTTTTTTTATCATTTAAGTAGCATTTTTTTATTTGACATCCAAACTGTCTAGAGAAGAATTTGATACAAAATTCATGCTTTAACGACCCTATATACCAACCCCAAATTGATTCGTAGTCAAAACGTGACAATCAATTATCAATACTAAATATGACCCAACACAACCGCCCCAAGATCATGCTAACCTAATCTCCGCATGATGATGTTTCTTATCAAAATGTTAGGTAGCAATTACATTTAAATAAACCATAAAAAATGAAACATATGATGAAAGTAAGATCTGTATTATCTCTGTGTTTGTGTGTGTGTGTGAATTATGTATTATGTCTTGCTATCAGCTTGGCTTGCATTGAATTGAAACAACTTGGCTTAGCATGCTTCCTTCTCTTTATTTATTTATTTATTTTAACATATAAATTGGTACTTACTGGAAGATTTTTCACCTATTGATTTTACTAAAGTCAATAATGCTCTACAAGGGGTATAACTATATGGTAATTATAAAGGAAGGTGTCCGTCATAAGTACTCACTTGATGTTTCAGTCTAATTAAAATTTATATTAATTTTTTTCCCTTAATAATATCCTTATTAAAATTTTTGAGTCCACATTTGTTTAGTTGGAAAGTTTTGACTAGACTAAATTATTCAGTCATGATTTTAGTCACATAAAGCGGGAGAGAAATTGAAGCGAGAAAGCGAAAGTGAAAGAGACAAAATTAAGTTACAAACAATGAGAATTGGAGCGAGATCATGTGCGAAACGTGAGAGTATTACCCGTTAAAAAAGATTGTGTGACTTAGATTATAACTATTTTAATATTTTTTCAAGTATGAGCTAGAGTTTAACTAATGCCAAAGAAAAGAAAAACTACTTTGACTAATCTCAAGGGATAGCCTAATGTCAAAGAGTCTCACCTCACATACTCGAGTCAGGAGTTCGAATTTTCTTAGAGTCACTTCCTTTTAATTTTTAGGTAATTGCCCGATGCATGTTGGATGACGGACTGCATGTGCCCAGTGATAAATTATGAAATGCTTTAGGAGACCTGACATCACCTTTATATATATATATATATATATATATATATATAATTAGTTCTAAGTACCCTTGGTGAGCCATATCAATAGTGGAGCCTAAAGCCCAAAGCTAAAGCCATATGAGAGAGAACCAAAAAGTCCTAGTGCATTAGGTAGACATGGGAAAGGTGGCACCAAACTATTATAGTATTAAGTCAAGACAGAAGCAGGTAACATTAGACAAATATGGGTGTTACAAGCAACCACATTTTAAAACATGTATACTAAGAAATTTTCTCAACTCTGGCTGTATATATAGCTTAGTATGAGACTTTGTGCCACATTTGTGCCTCCTCTCTCCATTTTTGAGCGTATAATTAAGAAAAACCTATGGCCTTGGCAGCTGCTCTCCTCATTCTCCTGCTTGCCTCACCGGCAGTCTATGCCGCAGATCATACCGTCGGGGGCAGCAACGGCTGGTCCCAGACCGGAGATTACACTACTTGGGCTAAGTCTCAAACATTTATTGTTGGAGATAACCTTGGTAAGTCAGATCACCTGAGCTCAACCCGAACTTAATTTGATTATATATATATATATATATATATATATATATATACGTGCACACATATGTAAAACTACGGTTGGATTTTTTAGGTTTCTTTCTCATAAATTCTTAGAGAAATTAGTTTCTCCGATTTATTATTTCTTTTTATATTTATATTATATTCAATTTTTCTGAATTTTTTTAGTTATAGAAGTTATCTAATCAAATTTAATTAGAGACAAATACAACATTAAAGTGACTTTTTCTATTTGATTAATTTTCTTTATCAACCTCTAAGCTGAAAGATTTCATTACAATTTGGACTGAATCAAATAGATTAAACTGATTCCTCCAATAAATTCAATTGGAACATTGCTAGATGTCGCAACACCTCAGTGGGGTCCACCACTTATGGCGGCCCCTACTAACGTGTGGCAGCAAAAACATTTTTCCATCCAACTAAGCCCACAATTTTATGGGAAACATCACAATTTTCAAACGTTATTACAAAATAAATAAATTTTGTACAGCAAGGAAATCAACAAATGATTCTTTCAATAGTTGGCAAATGTTATCAAAATAACTACCACCATATATATATATATATATATATGACCGTGTGCACACATATAAAAATAGTAGGCAATTTGCATCTCCAATTATATATATATATAATTTTTACATGTTCATGATACAGATTGACTAACCATAATTTTGATTTTCATGATGATCAGTGTTCAATTATGATAGCACCCACAGTGTGGACGAAGTGAGTCAAAGTGACTACACAAATTGCAAAACTTCAAGCCCAATTAAATCCTACACCGGAGGCTCAACCACCATCAGCTTGACTACTGCTGGTCCAATGTACTTCATATGCCCAACATTTGGTCATTGTCAAGGGGGCATGAAATTAGCCATCACCGTAGGGGCCAGTAGCCCCAGCCCTGGTGGCACACCACCCGCCACCTCATCACCGCCTTCCAGCTCATCCTCTCCGCCACCCCCCACCACCTCCACGACCTCATCACCACCGCCGCCACCTCCGTCTAGCGGAGCCACCGGTGATTTTGGTAACTCGAATGTTTTGATGCTAGTGTTGGCGCTTGTTTTGGTGGGCCTCCATGCATACATGGGCTAGGCAAGAGGCAGTGCTATACATTGTTCTTGTTTTACTCGAGTTGTGTGGTTTGTGATTATGAGTTGTAGTTTTACACTTCCCTATTTATTTTTTTATTTTATTTTATCTTTTTACTGTCTTCTTATTCTTCTTTCTCTTTTTAGTGCACAATGCTTAACTACTCATCAGTGAGTAGCTTCACCTTACTCACCCTATGTGTTTCAATAAAAAAAATAACACATCAATTTTAATAACAAAATCAGCAAAATAATAAAAAGGAGAAAAAAGTCAAATTGACCCGGTTTTAATTGGGTAAAACCTCTTTCTCTTTTCTTTCTCTCTTCTTTCATTGATTCCCAAACCCACGCTCTCCTCTCTCCACTGTTCTTCTTCTTCACCCTTTATTTTTTTATCGCTTCCCAAACCAATGCCCTAAAATTTAAAATTTTAGAGTAAATTTTGACTTTTAAAATTCATTGTTAGAATAAAGAAAGAAATTTGAGAATAATGAATCAAACAAAATTAACAAATTTTACTCTGTAATCCTGGAAGAAAAAAAACTTTAAAACAAAAAGTATTAAAAGTAAATATATAATAAACTCAGCAAACAATTTTAGGACAAAGCTTGTGCTATATTCACTGAACCAGCAAGAATGACACTGAGTTTCCTCCCAAAATAATTTAAACGAATTTTTGCTCTTTAGTTCTAGTTAGTAGTTACTTCAAAACAAACAAATAAAAATTAAAAAATGGAAAGATTTTGTTTTTGTTTAATCGCAAAAATAAAATAAATTTTAGAAGTTACCCAGTTCCCACCAAACTAAATTTGGGGCAAGTGTTGATCTGTTAGACATGTGATGGGCCTTATTCCTCACTCATTATAAAAGATTAAAATTCTTTCTTCGGTGCAATATGCCACGCCCACAAACCCAATCTATCCCCATAAATTCCTCCAGAGCAATAGATAGTAGGATTACATGGGACCTGCAGAATGAATTTTGTTTTAAAGTTTTTCTTCTTCCAGGACTACAGACTAGAATTTTGAATTTTGTTTTAAATTTCTTTCTTTATTCTAACAATGAATTTTAAAAGTTTGAGGGGTTTGGGAAGCGATGAAAAGAGAAATAAAAGAAAAAGGGTGAAGAAGTAGAACAATGGAGAGAGGAGGGCGTAGGTTTGGGAATCGATGAAAGAGATAGAAAGAAAAGAGAAAGAGAAAGAATTTTACTCAATTAAAACGGGTTTGAAGATGCAATCACTTTTTCTCTCTAAATTGACAGAGTTTCATTACACTTCAAACATTTTGATTCCCCATCTCCTTTATTTTTTGCCTATTTATAGATTGTTTACAGTGTTCTAGAAGAATCCTAACTAACTTCCTCCATTGGGCTCATCCTCGAGTCTTTTATAACCATGGGCCCGATCGCCTTTAAGGACCTACAGTTTCACTCTTCAGCATTGTGCTTTCCTGATGATAGCTTGATTCGGGCCCAGGTCATTTACCAGGTCCATTCTTCATCATGTGGGTCAGATCTGGCCCATGCCGCCTTTGGTATCCTCAACTGCTCCCATAATCACTCCCTCATTAATTAGGGTGTGATTATCAATTGACCTAATGATGACTTGACGGCTAATGACGACTTGACGGCTCGAGATGATCACGTGGGGCATTGAGCGGTCGGCCTCGGAATAAATGTCTTTGAAATTTGAATCTTTTTAACTTCTTGACGTCTCGGTTAATGGGACCACTTCCCCTTTATATATTGCTCCTTCACATCCACAGCTTCCCTTGTCGTACCCCTCACATCTTGCTGTCAATCAATTCAATCCATTCTCTCAGGGCAACTTGGATCTTCTCTGGTCAAACCAAATTTCCTCTGGCGAATCCAGTGAAAGGTCATTTTCTCTCAATTCCTTTGCAACATCCTTTGCTTCTCTCAGTCCTTTCAAGGTTAGTTCTGTTTTTTCTTCTTCTTAAAATATTTGTATATTTCCCCCAAGGATCATAATCGTTGACATCATGCCTATAAATTTGGATATTTTGCTCATGAAACTCCATCTCCCTTCCGACATTCACCTTAGAGAATGTCCCAAAGACGTAAATATCAGAACTGGTGCCGGCCTTCTTCCCGGCGAAACCTTGTTTTCCCTTTATCATCTCAACATTATTAGATTCCCTTTACACCCTTTCTTTTGCTATGTGTTTAATAGGTTAAAACTTTCTCCTTTCCAAGTTAATCCCAAGTTTTTTAGGGTTCTGTCCGTTCTGTTGCTTCTGAACCGTGACAGAGGCCTAGATCTTGACTGAATTGATCTTCTTCTCTGTTACAAGGTCAACAAGATCAGGTTGGAGGACGTATATTACCATTTGTACCCTATTAAGAAAAGATCCATTTGTACAGATAAACTTAAGTCCGAGAAGGGGTGGAAGAAGGGCATTGTTGGCATTCGATGGGCTTGGTTTGCTCCGGTTGCCAAGGACTACCCTATCCCAACTGCCTTTGGCGAATGCTCTTTGTCTTCTTATAAGATATTCAAAACCCATAAGACAGACTGCCCTTGTGAAACTTACATTCCCCGCTTCTGTTCGTTTCTTTGCAATTCTTTGGATATCCCGCAGGATAACGAACTTAGTTACAACATTTGCAGGGATAGGTTCAATTATCTGAAGGACTACATTCTGAACGACATCCTTTCCTGTTCGGAACTCCTCACGTCCGAGAATTTAAGTGATATCTCACTCCTCAGCACCACTATGAGTCAGCTTCGGATTCCATCCTTCAGTAGGAGAAAGGATCTGCCTAGGGTCGTCGCTGCTTCCGCAGCTTCTTCTTCCCCAGCCTCGGCATCTTCATCTGCCACCACTTCCAGCGCTACTTCGAACGTGGTGACTGTCTGTCCGATCATCACCGCTCCACCTACCAACTCGAACACTGTCTTTCAAGTTTAGAGTACCTCTGCTCCCACTGCATCCGTTCAAGATAAAGAGCGAAGAAAAAGGCCTTAGCCTGATAGCGAAGGCAGCCCCGATGAAGTTTCTCTAGCAAAGAGGATTCGAACTTCCGGGCCGGGCTTGCCTGTCCCTCCTCAGGTCAAACCAATTGCTCCTTCGGGGTCCGGCACAACCATCGGTTCCCCCTCTGGAGAGGCTCCGTGGTCCCCTAGATTAATCCGAGCTGATGACTCGGTGGTGAGGCCGAGCGAAACCATGTTCAGAGAAGGCCCAATAGCCATGGCCTATTACAAGAACATGTGGTCTCCCAAAGACATTGAAGTTGCCAAATCTTTGTCTCAAAAGGAAGTCTTTAGATGCTTTCCTCTGGCTGCTATGGAGGTAATTCTCTACCTTCTTCCTTATTGCATTTAAAAATGTCCTCATATTACATTTCCTTTGGACATACGTTCAGATTAATTAATATTCATGTATTGTTTTGCAGACTCTGTTCGGCATAATGGCCATGCAGAAGCATGTTGAGGCTGCCAATGCTAAGGCGCGCAAGTTCGCCAACAACCTTGACGTAGCCACCAAAGAGAATAATATTATTGGTGCCAAAAATGCTGAATTAATGGTGCAGCTGAACAAGGTTGAGAAAGAAAGGGATAGTCTGAAAAAGGAAGCAGACTCCCTTCAAGACGAAAAGGACGCCCCTTAGATTGAGAATAGTGTCTGGCAAACCGAGCGTGAAGCGCTCAAGGCCGAAAGAGACAATCTTCAACGCCTGCTTCATGACGAATAAGCAGAGTGCATGGCCTTTGAAAAGAGGACTCTAGATGAACGTAATGCCCTGCTCAGCATCATCGGCAAGGTCAATAGAGGGATGATGGCTCTGCACAGTCGATCTCCCGCATTGGGTCCCTCAGGTATGCTGAGGGATACCGAGAGGGTTTCAACGATCGCCTTCCTACTAAGGGTCAGACCATTTCTAGCACATGCCCAAATGATGTTGACAAGGAGCTGGAAATTGACCACCCAGGAGTCTATGCTGATCCAGACCCTACTCCTGCCGAACACATCTTTGAAGAGTGTGAGGGGATCGCCTTATCCGGAGTTATCCCTGTCCCTCTTCCTGCTTAGCCTTTAGACATTCATCCTCTCTCTATTGTGGTTCCCCCTGTGTTTGCTACTGAGGGCAGGCAGAATGAAATGGTGATCCAGCTTGACTCCCCTCTCACAGAGATGCCGTGACCAATGATGGGGAGAAGAATGCTAACAATCGTGACATGGTTACCGAGGGTGAGCAGGTGAACGAGGAGACAAACAGAACTTGATTGTACCCATCTCCTTATGATATTCTTTGTAATCTTCAATTTATCATGAATGAAAAGAATAATTTTTTACTACATCCGATCTCAATCTTTGCATCATTTGGTAGTAATTGTTGTTTGTTTTATTTATTTATTTATTTTTATTTTAAAAAAACAAGTGAATGGACTTCAGCTAATAATACCAGCCACTGCTTACTCTGCTAAGGTGTCTGAAGCTCGGCTAGAATGCCATTTGCCTCATGGCTTTTCATTATTTTTAGCAAGTGTTTTGAATTTGGCTCGTAGCACTAGTTGCCACTTACTAAGCTTAAGTGCCTGGCACTCCGCTAGAATGCCAGTTGCCACTTGGCTTCTCATTATTTTTAGCAAGTGTTTGGCGTTTGGCTCGTAGTGTCAGTTACCACTTTCTTTGGTTAAGTGCCTGGCACTCGGCTAGAATGTCACTTGCCACTTGACTTTTCATTATTTTTGGCAAGTGTTTGGCGTTCTGCTCGTAGTGCGAGTTGCCACTTACTTTGCTTAAGTGCCTGGCGCTCGGCTAGAATGCCACTTGCCATTTGGCTTCTCATTATTTTTAGCAAGTGTTTGGCATTCGACTCGTAGTGCCAGTTGTCACTTACTTTGCTTAAGTGCTTGGCATTCGGCTAGAATGCCACTTGCCACTTACCACTTGGCTTTTCATTATTTTTTAGCAAGTGTTTGGCATTCGGCTCGTAGTGCCAGTTACCACTTACTTTGCTTAAGTGCCTGGCGCTCGGCTAGAATGCCACTTGCCACTTGGCTTCTTATTAATTTTAGCAAGTATTTGGCGTTCGGCTCGTAGTGCCAGTTGTC